CCATTTTTCGACAAACTGTTGTCAAGTCCAATTCTGGTAGCTTGAGGGTTGCAGAAGGTGGAACAGGCGGTGGCCGCCTTCAGCGCGTCCTTCTCTAAAGGAAGCAGTACGAGACTGGGAAGATTGCTCTCAACTGTGGCAGGTAAACACGGTCTGCTCCCAAAGTGAGTTGAGACCACGGGGCAATGGACTCTGCCCATCCCTGTAGAATTGACGTTACCAGCTGGGAAATTAGAGGCAACTTTCAGGTTCATATAGCATATAGTTTGCTGAATCCAATACCTGTATATCCTATATATTAGGATTTTCGTTTTTAGAGCAAAAAGTTGAGTTCATCCCTCAAAATGCCTATTTCATCTCTTTTCGGAGTTAATGTAATGTTAGGGAAAGTTTTAATGTATTTTAGGGAAAGCTGCTGGCTCTGATTTCTCCAACTGTCAATTCCTTATCCTCTATCTGGAAATCACTGCAGAGCCTGGAGCATCCGGAGGCAGCTTTGGGGCCACCTCCTATTCTCAGAATGACATCAAACCTTAAATTGGAAGGTTGGAAGGTGTTGAGGGAGGGGAAGGAAGCATTTCCAGCGGTAAAATGAACTAGGATTAAAAAAACCCCCAAACAAAACAAAAACTGAAAAAATGAGAACTGGAGACCTAAATACCTCAAGGTGGTGAGATCGGCACTTATCAGAGCAGAACCAAACAGCACAGCCTTCAGCTAGAGCCAGCCCGAGAGCTGCAGACCAGAAGGGGAAGGGAAGGAAGCTTCGAGGAGGGAGCAGGAACAGAATAAAATAAGTCAAAATAAATGAAAAGCGGCCTAGCCTAGTGGAGAGGCGCAAGTGTGGTGGCTGATCGGCTGCAGATGGAGACTGTCATTTTCCTAGGCTATCAGTGACTAGCAGGCAGTGATAAAGAGGAGGACCTGTCAGGTCTGTGAGGAAGAGAACCGGAACCATTTTGCTGTGTAGAAAGTCACCATGCTACATGTCATGGCCCACGAAGGGCTGATTATATTAAAGCATAAAGAAACAGTGGCTCAGAACTATGATCTTCAGCTATCAAGAAAACTTTGAATAATGTTTGCATATTTTACTGAAGAAGGAAAATAAGTTTATAGCATATGAGGTGTTTCATTTGAAAGTGAAAGTTTGAGTTAAAAGGTTAAATTCAGTGATCTGGAAAAGTGTTACACAGAGCCATGTATTCCTTGAAATACTGAGAAATTAATGTGCACATCGCCATTGAGATGAAGATTGGAAATTAGATTTCACAGAACAAAAATCATTTCTGGGGGCAATTTGTGAGACAGCAATGTTGAAGCATAAAAGGAGTAATAATAAAGATGAACACACACAGAGATACACATACACACACTCACATGCTCACACAGACACCAACTCACATATACACTCACACACACATACACTCTATATTCACACATGTACCCACTCACACACCATCAATGCTCTCCCGATTCCCTTTATTCTTTTCCCTCCCTTGCCCTTTTCTAGAAAGAGCTGTATTTGCTACCCTTCCTGTTTCAGGAGTGCTGATGTGAAATTGACCCGGGTGGGAGGACCAGGAGGACAGAAGTGTTTGCTGAATGAAAATTTGTAGCAGAACGAGGGCTCTGAGAAAGCTTTTCTCTCCCTTCTGTGTCATCAAGGGACTTCTCTCTCCCCCACTCCCCATTTCAACTTGGCCTTAGGCACACATTTCTAGGGCTTTCTGTGCTCATGTATTATTGACAAGTAATCCCTTTCTCCATTCCCACGGGGCGCCGAATGAGTCCTGCGGTGACCTAGCACTTTAGAAAGGGGAAGCTGTGAGTAAGAGTCTGTTATTTCATCATCTCAGCAAGCAGAACAACTAACTGCCTCCCTGCCTGTTGTTTACTAACTGGATGGACACCAACGAAATGTCATTAGGACAGGAGGTCTGGGATCTGTAGCTTCAAGCCACTGCATCTCTATCCCCTTCAGAGAGACTGCTGGGCCCCAGGAGATGGCTTTGAAGGAGGAGGGTGGGTTGAAAGGGATCAAGGCCGCGGCAGTGGGCTGGATGGAGATCACCTCGGAGATCCCTGGAATGCATTATTTGTCTTCTCACTTTCAAAGTATAGGGTTCTAAGGCACATGTCTGTGAGGAGAGAAAAATAGAGCATTCTGAGCTATGTGAGGGCTGTGAAATTTATCAGGCCCAGAGAGACAAGAGGGTATAGAACTTCAATTATTCCCTCCCCACCCTGCCTCCCTGCCTGGGGGTAATTTCTTAAAGGCGTTTTGCTCCAAATTAGCTGCCTAACATATTATCTTCATGTTCCTGTAATCTGTGATACAAAGAACAAGGTATAGCCAATCAACAGCTTATGTTGTTTTAACATAATTCCTTGGTAAACAACTCAGGAACTGAGTTCTTCTTTTCCTTTAAAAATCCATGAATACTCTCTAGGGCTGCAATTCTCAAGCTTGGACCAAATCACCTCTCTACTTACGCTAATTTTGCCACAGCGTCTTTCTTTTAGTTGACATCTGAGATGCCTGGAACCTTGACGGGACAGGTAAACATTTAGACAGTGAACAGATAAAGTAACGAGAATTAGAAGGTCTTGAGTTTAGAGAGAGCTTTGTGTTCGCTCTCTGACATTTGTTTACTGTGTGTGAGGCTCTTACAAGTGAATCTCAGCGTGGGATAACAATAGTGACCCGTGTGGCACCAGCTGCCGGCTAGGCTTTGGGTGCCGAAGAATATCTGGACATTTTACAGGCTAACTGATTTTTAAAAACTGCAGTAGTTCTGTCGGAATTCCTCTGCAAATTTTAAAATAAGTTGTAGGAGTAAAAAAGTGAGACTTTCTCTCTCTCTCTTTTTTTTTTTCCAAAGAGCAAAAATGAGCCAATTTAGAGCTAGTTTTGGAAGCATTTTCTCACTTTGTCTTAGGAATGGAGAGTGAGGAAAATCAAGTGTCATCAGCGCTGGCTGCTTGAATGTGGGTGCGAGGAAACACAAAGCCCTGGCTTGTTTCAACTGAGCAAGACAATGCAAGAGATTCAGAGATCTTAGGTCATAAAGGACCCATGAGCGCCTTGGTTACGAAGTTCATTCATCCTATTGCCATTGAGGCATCTGTTTTCCAGTGAATATAACCCTGGTTTCCTGAATCAGCGCTGCCTGCTGCGGTGGGTCACAGAGGGAACGGATCATGGACCAAACTGTGGGTGTTGGGAGCCACGTGGTGGATTAACAGGAAGATGAAGAGGAGGAAGAGGTTAAACTGGGTTCAAGGACGGGAGCAGGCTGAGGGGTTTTCAGGAAAGTGAAGATGCAGGGCAGAAAGGCCATCAGAAATACCATTCAAAGAGTCAACATGGTAACCGGGGAGGTGGAGACAGATTCCTCCAAGGCTATCCCAGGACTCTCATTCCACTTTCAGACTTAAAACTAGGAAAAATGTGTTCTCTTTCCTTTGAGCTAAGGCAGGCTATCAGTTTAGCAGACCTGCCTTAGTTTTATCCTTTCTTACAGGCCCACTCAAGGACCTGCCAGGATTTTTGTGAAAGTCTCAAAATATGACCCTCTGAGCTATTTTTCCAACTCTCTTTCCCAGAACTCTAGGGCATGCCTGGGGGGAGAGAGGAAGGCTGAATCTTCTTCATCCTGCCTTTCGGATTTCCTATCTCAGGATTCCTGCTAACATTTTCTTTGGGGAAAAAAAGGGAGTTCCGTTGATTAATAAAACATTTGAAAAATCACCCATCCTTTCCCTTCTCCTCATTTTACAAATGAGGAACTGAAATCAAAATAGGTTAATAGTCTGAGCCAGGATTCTGCCGTTAATGGCACAGATTGAGTTACAGCTCAATTTTTCAGCCGCCAGGGCACTGGTGATGGTTTTCAAGGAGAACTAAGACGAAGAGAAGACTGAGTGTTAAACGCGCTGCTGCGTTTCTATTTTAAACTACGCATACGTACATGGCGGTAGTCCTCCATGTTTCTGTGATATATCTATTTAATAAGGGTGTAGTGACCTGTGGACTGGAGGAGTTTAATACGTTCTTTTTTTCTTATAGGGTTATAATACAGTAATTCTAAACACCTGTTTTGCTGGTTTGTTTCTTTTATGAAAGTGGAATCAAACTCAGATTTCCTATTTTAGATAATTCAGTTGATGACTGAAATTTAACCAAGTGGTGAGTTTCTTCACATTTTTCAGAATGGCCCTTAAGAAACAGAAATAGGCTGGGCACGGTGGGTCACACCTGTAATCCCAGCACTTTGGGAGGCCAAGGTGGGCAGATCTCCTGAGGTCGGGAGTTTGAGACCAACCTGACCAACATGAAGAAACCCCATCTCTACTAAAAATGCAAATTAGCTGGGTGTGGTGGCGGGCACCTGTAATCCCAGCTACTCAGGAGGCTGAGGCAGAAAATTGCTTAACCCAGGAGGTGGAGGTTGTGATGAGCCGAGATTGTGCCACTGCATTCTAGCCTGGGCAATAAAAGCGAAACTCCAGCTCAAAAAAAAAAAAAGAAAGAAAGAAACAGAAATAATTATGTTTATGACTTAAAAAATTTATAGTAATACTTTTTCCTACCTTCTCCGCTTTTTCCCAACTTGAAAGCTTAACCTCATTTGATCATCTTCCATCCAACCTTCAAACATCATCTGTACTGTACTGTTATGTAGTAACCATGCAGTGTGTGTCTTTAGTAGGGAATCAAATGCAACCACTATCTAGGGGTGAATAAAAATATCTGATGGTATTAGCAAACAAGTATAAAGTGCATAGTAGAAAAAATTTAAACTTGAAATTACACCCTCTTTTCTGGTTTCTCTGGTGTTAATATTTTCTGAGAAGTATCCTCAAGGCTTGTCCTAGCCACTGTCTTCCTTGTCCCGGGTGTGGCAGTTACTAATGTGGGCAAGACGTCCTCCTGGCCTTAGCCAGTGTACCCGAGAGTTATATAAAGGATATTCTGGGAGCCAGGAGCAAATAAAGCAGACTGCACAGATGGTGCACGGAAAGGCTTTTAACAGAAATGAACACTTTGAGACCAGTTTTGAAGGACTGAGTAGGAGTAAACCAAAAGAGAAAAAGCAGGACAAAAGAAGCACCGTGTTGGAAGCTCAAAGCCACACTGGAAACACAGCCTTCCAGGATGTCTTGAAAGGGGCAAGTCTGTTTGTGTGGGGTAGCAAATGCAGAGAGACAAACGGGCAGAGAAGAGACTGCAGAGGGCTCTGTGTGCTGAGATGAGGGTGCAGACTAGATTAAAAATTTTTTTTTTTTTTTTTTTGTAGAGACAAGGTTTCACCATGTTGGCCAGGATGGTCTCGATCTCCTGACCTCATGATCCACCTGCCTTGGCCTCCCAAAGTACTGGGATTACAGGCGTGAGCCACTGCGCCCAGCCAGCAGACTAGATTTTTAAATCGAGAATGCAACAGGGAAGGATTTCAAGCTTGGAGTGAGAGGGAAGACTACGAGCCTGCAGTGATAAGGCAAAGCTGAAGATTTCAGAGCAAAGGCCATGCCCTACAGTTGCCATGGAATGGGGTGGCTCAGTTGGCTTTGGAGGTAAAGTCTGCAGTTGAGAAGTTCGAGGGTAGTAAGTACTTAATGCCAGGGTATAAGGTCAATCATCCCTTTTAATACACAGATACCATCTGCAGCGTTTTCAGGAACGGAGATAGAGAAGAAAAGCAGGCAGCTACAAGATATTCGAATCTTCCACAAATGTCAGGGAGAGAGTCAGCATGTTGATAGGAGAGATCAGGAAAGCTGAGTACCATAAGCCTCAACACGGGTGTTTTTATTTCAAGGTTGGGGAGCTGTGCTTTGGAAAAGCGATGACGAGGTAACAGGAAATCTCTTCCCCTCCTAAGTCCTGTGTTCATGGAGGAGGGTGGGAGGCTGAGTTTTCTCCTCTTGGGAGGGAGTTACATCCAAGTTTAAGGGAAAAGAGTCTGAATTTTCCACCTAAATAATTCTGAAAGAATCAGGTAAGTAGTTGCTTAGAAATAATTACTAAATGTTGCATAAAGAGAAACAGCTTCTCTATGGAGTAACAGATCCTGACTACTCAATAGCTTTTTGCATTTTTCCTGGGCTGTGGTGATATTTGCAGCTTTCCTTTACATGTTAATATCTCTCATCTTACCACTGAAAGCTTATTTCTATGAATTTGCCTTGAAGTGAACTGCAGTTTCATATTTGTGATTTAATTTTTGCTAAAATGAAATGGCTCATTTTTATTAAAAAATGATTAAAAAATACTATAAAGATAGTAAAAGTTAAGATTTTACCAAGAATATTATTGTGTGCTGGATGCTGGAGGTATGAAAGGGAACAAGTTAGGAACTATGGCTTCTTCATGGGCAGCTGGTGTGGAGTTTTAAAGATTTTTGAACACTTAAATTTATGTCTTTCTTTTAAGAATCAATAAAAGAAGAGCAACTCTTGACAGCAGTATTATAGTGCATCATCTTCAAAGATCAATGTGTGTACAACGTTTAAATACATCAGTATCTAGGCATGATGCTCACCCTTCATGGTCAACCATGGTTTAATCTAACCTCTGTTTACTTTCAATTCTTTCAGAATTTGTTGACATTTTAGAAGCATAGTTTTTTGTTCTCCAAGAAATATGTCATTCAAAGTCCCTGAAATTATTTGTCAAGTTGTTGGGCTTTTGTCTCATGTATTTCTTAGCTCTTTGAAACAACTAGAGATTTATCTTTACCCATCTTCCTGTTTTATTTTTTTGAGTCTCATTTTTTTTTATAATGGTCTGTAGTCAATTTATGCAAATCTCTGTGTGAGTATTTTATATCTCTATGACTCTTGGCAGAGGTGAATAACTTTTCCTTTTTATAAGAGGAATATAATTTTCCTCATTCCCAGTAGACATTAAGCTTATTAGCTACTTATCTTTTTGATACTTTGCATTAATTTTCTTCATAGCAACGAAAGCCCGATTTGGAAAGAGAAAAAATTGATTTACACCCAAAATTACTTTTATAAAAGGTTACATATTTCCTCTAACAATTATTTAAAAAGCAAACACTGAAAAATAATATAATAAATCACAAAAATAAAACTAAAAATGGCTTTAATCACAGGTGTAGTCAAACTCCAGTGATTATTACAAAATCTGTCAAGACTCCTATGATTAAAATTGTGATTACTACATAAGTAATTTTATTATTTTTAAGTACATGTGTAAAGTTTAAGGAACATTTAAGAGTAATTGTCATTAGCAAATTATTTTCAAAGTAATCGTAAAATGCCTTATTTATTTGAAAGGGCAGAAATCTCCAGTCATTTACTCTGTTCTACTCTGATAAAAGGGAATAAGTATCCCAATTATTTTATGATCAAAACATACGTGTGACTGTGTGCATACAAGTATAGACACGAACTAACACACAATTCCATTAATAACGAGGTATATCCTTGATGGGTACTGTTAGCTGAATATCAAGCAGTTGAATCATTGCATTTTCATTCTGGAAAAGTTGTTTGTCAAGAGTTGATAAATGATTGTCCTGGCAGCTCAGGGTAACCATGTTACCAATGAGATCTAAGGAGAATTCCACTTACGGGCTTCTGGGAGAGATGTTTCTTTCTATGGAAAGGGTCAGGTGCAAGAAGACAGCTCCCTGGTTCTGCTCCTTGCCCTGATTTCCGGCCATGAATGCAATTCTGCAAGAGAATGACTCTGGCTCTGTGGCAGCTATCTCGGTCGAACCCATGAGACAATTAGCCTAAGGAAAAAAAAACTCATCGCATATCTTGGATGACAGAGACAGAAAATAGAGAAATGGTATGAAGGATGAAGGGAGGATAAGAAGAAGACTACGTCTCTGATAACATCAGTTTGTTACTGCACCAAATTTGCAACCATTTACCTAGAGTTTCACTGTGTGTGAGATCATTAAAAGTTAGCTGTGCTGATGCCCCTATTGGCAGCTGAATGAGAACTGATACATTATCACACTCTCTGACTCATTCCTGATGTCACATTTGATGAGTCAGTATAGCAGATAGCCAAACCCAGGTTTTTGAATTCAAAGTCCAGGGTTTTCCTGGTCTTGCTGTCTCCCTATATTGTCATAATCTGGGAAATAAATCCACTTACTGTGAAGTAATAACATACATTACTTATTTTGAAGAATTTCCCTACTCTGATTTAAAGCTCCGTTTCTCTCTTCACCCTCTGGACTTACTGTGCTCATGGTTTGTCCAGGAAACTTTGGGTGTGAATTTCCCTTTATAGTCACTTGTGACTGAATGTCCATTTGCTTTATTACAACTTTGGGCATGTTACCCAAAGCATAAGACATCACCTTATACTTCCTGATCTTTCTAAGAGGATAATTCATATTAACCACTTCACATATTTGATACTCTTGTTGGGTAGAGAGGAGGTCATGGGGTGGGGCTTAATTCATTATCAACATTTGGCTTTTTAATTTTATTTATTTATTTATTCATTTATTTATTTACTTTGAGACAGAGTTTTACTCTTGTCGCCCAGGCTGGAGTGCAATGGTGTGATCCCGGCTCACTGCAAACTCTGCCTCCTGGGCTCAAGTGATTCTGCTGCCTCAGCCTCCTCCATAGCTAGGATTACAGGTGTGCACCATCACACCAGGCTAATTTTGTATTTTTAGTAGAGATGCGGTTTAACCATGTTGTCCAGGCTGGTCTCGAACTCCTGACCTCAGGTGATCCACCAGCCTCAGCCTCCCAAAGTGCTGAGATGACAGGCATGAGCCATAGCGACTGGCCATTTGGCTTTTCTAAATTAGTGGATATTCCATGGGTGTTCACATATTTTTGTGTGTCGTAAACATTTCATAATGACTACTAATAGGAACACAGATTAGTTTGTAAAGTTTGCGAAATTGCCCTGCTGATGGGAATTTGGCTTGCAAGCATTCATGCAGGTGAGAAGGTGGAGATTGAAGGAGTTCGCGACTGCCTGCCAAAGTTGTCTGCATCTCAGTTAAAGAGGATTCGAAGCTTACTTTGAGTCTTTAACAAAGAAACATTTTAATATCAAAGTACGGTAGATATGAATTTAGCATTTGAATCTCAGTTTATTTTTTTCTAATTTACTGTCTACTATATGACATATGAATAGAAATTACACACTGAATCAAGGCCTATAATGAGATATTACATTTCCACTTGGCTTAATTGTAAAGAGGGTGTGCTCCACATTTTTCTTCAATCTGTTTCTAGATATGAAGTGTTAAAGATCTGTAAGTAGATGTTTGCCATGTAACTGAAATCTAATTACAGGGTTATTTGTCTACTCAAAGAAACCACAGTACCTCCAGTCAGAGCTATGACCAAACTGGGTACTACCATGAGCTCTTTCAGAATGCTGAATTAGGCTGGCATGGTGGCTCACACCTGTAATCCCAGCACTTTGGGAGGCCGAGGTGGTGGATCACCTGAGGTCAGGAGTTTGAGACCAGCCTGGCCAACATGGTGAAACCATCTCTACTAAAAATACAAAAATTAGCTGGGCATGGTGGCAGGTGCCTGTAATCCCAGCTACTTGGGAGGCTGAGGCAGGAGAATCACTTGAAACTGGAAGGCAGAGGTTGTAATGAGCTGAGATAGTGCCATTGCACTCCAGCCTGGGCAACACAGTGAGACTCCGCCTCACAAATAAATAAATAAATAAAATAAAATAAATGCTGAATTTGGAAACATGAGAAAGCCCCTGAGGACACTGTGAAACTGAGTTTAAGGAAGCAGAGTAGGGATTCACAAAGATACTGATGAGGGGAAAAGTGATCCTAGAACAGTGGGACCTCAACTCTCAGTCAATGAAATGTATCAATATATTTAAAGAAAAATATGTGTCCGACAGATGGGGGATTGAGAGGCCAGAAAAGCAGAAGAAATCACAGAATTGCTTTTTGCTTTTAAACCAAGACTTGTCTGGAGATGATCTCGGATCCAGGGTAGATTTCCAAGGGCAGGCATATTATTATTGGTGGTATTATGATTAGCTTCTCATATATATTGGTTGTTTCCTACATCAGATGCTACACATTTTATGTATCATGTAACTTAATCCTCATTAACACTCATGAATGTAGGCACTATTATTTACTTTATAAACGAGGATATTAAGGTGGAAAGAGATCAAGTTGCTTATCTAGGAGCTTAGAGCTAGTAGGTGGTGGTGTTGATATTTGAACTCAGTCTTGGGAGCCTGTACATATAACCACAATTATGAGAACTTACAAGGACAAAAGAGAATTCTCTTCTCAATTTTGCAAGGAGGATCCAAATTTGTGACAACCCAATAGTATGTGTCAAAATTAAGCCAGTAGTTCAGGTCTCGTGAATCCTAGTTTGAAGTTTTTTAAGTATACCTGAACTCTTCTCCATGGGAAGTCATTGAAGGAAGATCAGTACAGGGTAGATTGCCTTCACGGTCGGGGCCACAATGGAGAACAGGATTCTCTGGAAGAAAGTAACTGTGCATAGCTCACACGTAAGGAGTGGAGAGTTATTCTCTATCTCCTTGAAGGCAGATTATCTTTATATATTGGAATTCTTCTGCACTGGAGAACTGTCTATGGAATCTATAAATAATGATAAGTGACAGTATGTGTGTATAAGTACACACAGACACCCATGTCCAGAGGAGGGTGTGTGTGGAGATGTCAAATGCTCACAACAGCCACCCGAGGTAGATACTGCTACTATCCCTATTTTATAAACGGAGGGACAGAAAAGTTAGGTAGCTAGCCGAAAGCTATAAAGCTGGCAAAGTGTTTAAACTCAGGGATTTAGAATCCAGAGCATGTTTACCTGATAGTTAAGACTTAACCTGATACTCAGTTAAGAGTTAATTCAAAAATTGTCTAGTTTTCACCACTGACTTAGTTTTTCAATCATTTATATCAGTATCAACTCATGGGTATTCATGGTGTATGTTGGGTTATGATCCAAAAGATTTGATTCATCTTTGTGCTTGAACTGTGCCAGCGTAAGCCACTGGGAGCATGTTCTGTTGGCGCCTTTGTCCTCTTGACAGGCCCATAACTGTGGATTTTTTTTTCTTAGCACTTAGAAAAAACCTTTTCATTTCAGGGGTACATGAGCAGGTTGGTTCTGTAGATAAATTGCCTGGCCTGGGGGTTTGGTGTACATATTATTTCCTTCCCAGGTAATAAGCGTATACCCAGTAGGTAGTTTTCTGATCCTCTCCCTTCTCCCGCCCTCCTCCCACCTCTCCTTCCTCTCCCTCCTCCCACCCTTAAGCAGGCCCCGGTGTCCATTGTTCCCTTCTCTGTGTCCAGGTATACTCAATGTTTAGCTGTCACTTGTAAGTGAGAACATGCAGTGTTTGGTTTTCTGTTCCTGTCCTAGTTCACTTTGGATAACGGCCTCCAGCTCCATCCATATTGCTGCAGAGGTATGATCGTGTTCTTCTTTTATGACTGTGTAGTATTCCATAGTGTGTATGTACCGCATTTTCTTTATCCGTTCTACCACTGATGGGCATTTAGGGTGATTCCATGATTTTGCTACTGTGACTACTGCTCAGGACTTCTTTGTTTTCTGGCATTACAGGATGCCCAGGTGTTCCTGCTTCAGTCTTAGAGATAGCTATTTCTCCAAGGAGCCCTGGTTCCTTTGACTGAAGAACGGTATTAGAAACCAAGGTTGAGGCACTAGATGTGAATCTTACTTTAAATAGTAACTAATACTTAGAAGTCAAGACAGTGGCTGCCCTTGGAAAGGTGGTGGTGACAGGGAGACGTCCTCAAGAGGCTTCAAGGGTATCTGATCTGTTTCTTGATCTCAGTCCTGGTTGCCTGGGCTTCTTCATTCAGTGAAATTCATCAAGTGTACACTTAGGATATGTGTAATTTTCTGCCTTCATGTTCTATTTCTATAGAAACTTGTTTATTTAGAAAATAAAGCAAAAAAAAAAAAAAAGACAAAAACTAACGGTTAACTCTTAACTGAGTATTAGGTAAACATGTCCCGGATTACAAATCCCTGGCAAATTTAAATACTTTGCCAGCTTTATAGCTTTTGGCTAGCTACCTAACTTTTCCCCCCTCCGTTTATAAAATAGGAGTATTATCTGCCTCAGGTGGCTGTTGAGAGATTAAACATCTCCACACACAACCTCCTCTGGACATGGATATATGTGTGTATTTATACACATACAGTCACTTATCTTTATTTATAGATTCTGTATTTGCAATTTTGCCTACTTGCCCATATTTATTTCAAACCTCCAAGTTAATCAGCCAAGTCTTGTGGCATTTTTGTGGTCATTTGTGGGTATGCACAGCATAGCAACATTTGAGAATTGCCTGACTCCCATTTCCCAGCGAGCTCAGATAGCTAGATGTCTTGCCTTCTTGTTTCAGCTCTCGTGCTGGCAACAAGGGTCCTTTTCTCCCTCTCTATATGTAATGCCACATTTTCACATTTCTGTGCTTTCTGTGGGTGATTTTGATGTCTAAAATGTTCCCCATGTGCAGTGCTCAAGGCCTGTCTAGTGTTCCTAAGGGCAAGAAGTCCATGAGGTGCCTTATGGAGAAAATACGTGTGTCAGAGAAGCTTCATTCAGACATGAGTTACAGTGCTGTTGAGCTTAATGTTAGTGAATCAGCATTATATATTAAGAAACACAACTAAAGCAAATCAATTATGAATTGGTGAGTTGATCAAAATATTGTGACCAGATGCTCTTAGAAACCTGTGTAGTTTCCAAAGGAGCAGTGGATCAATATTTGCTAATGTAGTGTTTGTTACAACTTTACAGAAGATAAAAACTACAAATAATGAAAATTAGTTGTATATATATGTATATACATACATATCTATATGTAAAAATATCTTTGTATGTCTATCTACCAGTATGAGAACAGTGCCTATTATTATTATTATTATTATTATTATTGAGATGGAGTCTCACTCTGTCACCAGGCTAGAGTGCAGTGACCCAGTCTCAGCTCACTGCAAACTCCACCTCCCAGATTCAAGTGATTCTTCCACCTCAGCCTTCCAAGTAGCTGGAACTACAGGCATGCACCACCACGCCTGGCTAATTTTTGTATTTTTAGCTGAGATGGGGTTTCACCATGTTGGCCAGAATGGTCTCGATCTCTTGACCTCGTGATCTGCCTGCCTTGGCATCCCAAAGTGCTGGGATTACAGGCATGAGCCACTGCTCCTGGCCGAATAGTGCCTATTATTTATTATTAATATAAAAAGCCCTTTAACCAATGTGTTTAGCTATATTATCTAGGTGTCTGAGTAGAATTGCTCTGTAATCCACAATCACTCCTGGGAAAGATAATGATGTTTTTTGGCTCTCGGTAAAACTTCTTCTTCATGATATGGAAGGAACAGCAATAAAGGAAGCATATTCCTTACGCTTATGGAATTTACATTGCAAAATAATTAAGATCTCAGTTTACCGCTGTGTGCACAGCATCTAGCACATAGTACCCAATACTCAGTACAGACTCAATGTTTTTTTGCACTATCTTGAAATCATAAGGAAAAAGTGGAAGTGTGATGAAAGAACGTTCCAAGTGAAGTCACTATATTAGCCTAAAATAGACAAGCATACAGATGAGCCATGCGTAAGGGATTTTTGTAATGACTTGTCTGCATCCTGAAACTTAATAGCCTATGGATAGATGCCTCGAGTTTTACATAAACAATGAGAACCCTGCCTGATGTAGGAAATGAACACATGTTCTAGCTTTCAAGTCAATTAGTGAGATATTCTTATTTCTCTTCTAGGTTAAGAAGCAAATCTGCTCTGATGTGATGCCAATTAAGTACATGATCTGATTGTTCCAGTTATCCTGTGCCAAAAAGAAGCAAAAAATGGGCTTTCCACGGATTATTGAACACAGTGGGTGTCAGTGTGCCTGAGAAACAAACTAGTATTAAAAGCTTTCTAGGCAATTTGAATCAGGTTGCTGAGCTTTGAAAAACATTCTACAGCCAAGTGTAGGAGACCAAAGAACTTGGAGAACATACGTGCTCTGAGCTATTTCAAAAAATGCTGCACTTAAGCTAATTGAGCTGTCGTCAGGGCAACACGGACGTGAAGAACAGGAAGGTAGATTTTAGCGGAAGAGAAGAACAGGCAAGGGATGGAGTCACGTGCATTTGGAACACAGGACAAACATAAGCCCTGTTTATCTCAATAAAGTAAGCACAGTTGGGCATTCTGTGGGGCGAGATCATTTGCTGGAATTTAGATGAGGCCAAGAACAATCCATGGATATCAAATCCACACATAAGCCTCTGCTAGAATTGTGCTAGAGTAAGGGCAGTCCTGGAATTCCTCCAGGCGGTCTGGTTTTCTCCAGATGTCTGGTTTCCAGGTGAATGAACTGAAGAAAGATCAAGAAATACATGGTGGGTAAGAGGTAAGAGAGAAAGCCTGTTTAAGTTAAATCCGATCTCCTCACACATAAACCGACTCAATGACTTCTGAAGCTTCCTCTTGTCTCTAACATACAATAATTGAGTTAAAGAAATATAATATTCTTGTTTCAGGAATAAGGACTAATTGTTTTGGCCCCAAAAAAATAAAAGATAAAAGAACTACCAGTGTGCCTATGTTGTGTATTGCTAATGCTATTTTCTTCTTCAGGTGCTGAATTGTTGGTCTTCCTGGGGAAAGCTCTAGGGCAGAGCTAGCAAAATATCAAGATAGCAGGTATACATGTGGCAGCCAAGAGGCGCCTTGCTCAGCTCTCCCTTTGAGAGAACTTGCTTCAAGGTGGGAGGTTGGGGAACACCCTCCAGCCGCTCTGTCTTCAGATGCACTGGGGCATTCATGCAGAAGGTACCTCTTCCCTGGACTGCTCCCAGCCTGCGACTGAGCAAGGCAGAAGTGTTAGCACCATGCCATTCCTGCAGAACGTGGGTTTCCTCCAGTGGGTCAGCTTTGCTCCAGGGCTTGCCATCTGCATGGACATGACGCTCTCAGAGGTTGCAGGACACTGAGGCCCCTCCTACCAAATCATGCGACTTTGTCTCTCCTGTCACAGGTGTCACAACTGCCCCTCAGTCCGAGGATCGTCCTCTACATATTCCTGCTCCCTCTCTCCTCCTCTCCCTTATTCCTTCCCATGTCTCCCACCCCAATCTCTCAAATATCTACTTTTGTCTTCAAATCTACTTCTTGGAAATCATGAACAAAAGAGGATTTGCATTTGATAAGATCCAAAGAGAGAAGGGGATAAGCCATATACTTCTGACACTGGTCACCAGGTGCTTTTTTTTTTTTTGACTGAACACCTGATGGAGCTGTTAGAATGAAGTCACGTCTGAGGTGATACAGACTGGCTTCCCCTTTTGGGCAGTGCCCAGGAGGGACAGATGACTCATCATAGAGTGGATGGGGGTGGAGGATCCTGGCTCCATCTTGGAACACAGGCTAATTAGGGGTGAGAAGGAATAGACAGATCCACACAAACAACCTGCTCCACCTCCAAGTTTCTCAACTGAGATCGAGGTGAGACATCAGCTCAGCAGAGAAAGACAGAGGTTGTGTGCTCAATTCCCTTTGCACTTTCCATTCAGGTTTTGGGGTGTACTTCTGGGACCCCTTATGTCTTTCAGGGTTTCCCTGGATATTCATTAGTCCAGCATCCCTGTAGGGAAAAGATGGGGCACTTTGCCTGGTTTTGTACCAGGCAAAGCTTTAGACCATCAGAGCTTCAGACCATTCCCTTGTTTGTAGCTGGGCCAGTGTGAGTGTGAAAAGCAAAGGGAGGTGGGGCAGAGGGACCATGGACAGTACCCAAATGGGAGTCATATCTCCACCATCAGGTTTAGAACCTGTGAACTGGAAATCTTAGAAAATAATCATAAAATTATACTGGCTTTTTTTGCCCTAAGGACTGTGGAGAGAGATTCTTGCAGAAATCTTGCCTTGCCCAACCCAGCCCATGACTTTCCCCACCACCAGGAAAGCACTGGTTAAGGAGGTGATTCAGAGTTAGGTTCCCCAGGTGGGTCCATTGATGAGTGACCTCTCCTTGGCAACCGGACATACTTTCATCATTCAGGGAGGAACACTGAGCTAGGAGGTAGAATCTCTGGGTCCTGCTTTTGATGCTTACACAAACTTACTATGTAGCTTTGAGTAAGGTAGCAAGCCTCTCACCCTCAGTGTCCTGTGTAGCCAAACTGATTGACCTGTGAGGCAATGTGTGTCCCAGTCCTGCCATTCCTTATATCACCAGTCATTGTCTTAATAAAAAACTGGCACTGGAACATAGCAATGTGATTCCATGTTTCAAATTGAGGTTGTCCTTGTAAGTCTGGGTAGCCATCTTTGCAGCATTGGCTCTTTCAAAAGAAAATTATTTTCATAAATATTTCATTGGATAATCCCCATTTATCAGGAAGACTTAATAAAGCATCTTCTGTAGACACAGAAGCATGTTATTGCCTACTTACTTCAGAGTTAGGTTACCAGGCATATTCATAAAAAAAAAAGCATATTACTTTAGTCAAACTTTACAGAGAAGATAGATTGCCTACAAAGAAGTTATTGTAATAAAGCTCATAATTTTTTCAAGAGTATGCTAAATATATATATATATAAAATATGTATGTGTATATATACACATATACACACATATTTATATATGCGTGTGTCTATATGTATATACACATACACATAGCCATATATATGTATATATACACATACACACATACATGCATTCATATATTTATTAATGTATTTAACTTCTCCAAAACATTAGCTGCCAAACAGAATATTAGATTAAAATATTTTAAATTGAAAAGTTATTCAGAGACAAATAATAGAACTCTCAAATATCTTAAATAACTTATGCTGACCTTTCCCCTGAACTCTAAACATTAAACTTTATTAAGAGGAAAATAGCGCGTATGCAGGCTAAGCATGAGAAAGACTCAGGAGCGCAGAGTAAACATAGCAGGCTCATTGTTCAAGTTAAATGAGTGCAATTATCTGATAGCCATTTGTACTTCCCGTAGAATACCCTTTTTCCTCCATATTTGTTGCTACTAGTGTTGAGAGAGAGGGCTAATGTTTTCTGCTTTTAATCCCTTTGTCAAAACCATCAGCAGATAGTGGAAAAACAAAACGGAATCACTTAGGTTTGGCCTTCATATTATCCTCTCCCCAGTTGCACTGAGAGGGGACAGATGGGTGACCAGCTGTCGTGACACAGGGCTAGGGTCACGGTGCCCCCGCACACAAAGCAGCGAGCACTGCTGGGTCCTCAAGCTGCCTCTTCCTCTCAACACCCCAGCGAGGCTCTCAGGCCTGCGTCACTCACGCTCACCAGTGGGGCTCTCAATGTTTTGTCTCAAACCAGCAGCGTTAAAGGCTCTGGTTCTCTGCAGCCGGTTAGGGAGCATCTCACCATTGTTTGCTTCTATGCATGTCCTGTTCAGCAGCCACTCTGTGAAGAGGAAACCTCAGTAACAGGAAGGGGAAGGACGCTGCCACGGATGCCGTTCTACTCTCCAGGGAGGAGGGTAAGAAAAAGGGCTTGATAAATTGCAATATCCCTCCGGAGGAGCACCCCATCAAGAGAATGAAGAGGACAGCCTTCAGGAATGAAACCGCCTTGCAAAAATTTTAACAGTGAGAAAATTGTGAAAGTGGCAAGAGACCTGACCTGATCGACGCGACGCCATCTCGCTTCTAACCCCCAAGCGGCTCTAGTTCATTCCTGGGCTTTGTGAGGAACTCAGTTCATAGTTTAACTTTGAAACAAAGATGATAACAGCCCTTTCCCAAAACAAACCCTCTTCTTGCCTGGGGCCCAGACTCCCTTTGTAGGACCAACAAATTCGCCACAAGGTTAGAATTGATGGTTTAGAAGTCGTGCAGCTAAACATCATAGCCAGACACGTTCAGAGTGATTTGAGTAATCGGAAAACTCTGGTCTCCTGCACACCCAGCTCTGCAGCTCTGCATGAAGGATTTATTTATTTATTTTCGAGATAGAGTCTCAAAAATAGGCTGGAGTGCAGTGGCACAATCTCTGCTCACTGCAACCTCCGCCTTCTGGGTTCAAGCAATTCTCCTGCCTCAGCCTCCTGAGTAGCTGGAATTACAGGTGTGTGCCACCACACCTGGTTAATTTTGATGTTTTTAGTAGAGACAGGGTTTCATCATGCTGGCCAGGCTGGTCTCGAACTCCTGACCTCAAGTGACCTCTATTGCAGCTCCTGTCTAGATAAATAGACTCTGGGCAGCCAGCAAGGAGAACCTGTTGGGTCTGGGTGGTTACAGGAATAGGTAGGAACAATGTCTACCCTTTTCTTCACAACTTAAGACGATTTATCAATCCCATTTTACAAATTAGTTGAAAGCGGGACTATCTCAAGTCCCGCTTATTCAGTGCTTATTCCAAAATGGAGTCTCTGCACATTTATACCTTGTTGGTGGGAATGCAAATGAGCTCAGCCCCTATGGAAAGCAGTTTGAAGATTTCTCAGAGAACTAAAAATAGAACTACCATTCGACCCAGCGATTGCATTGATGGGCACACACCAAAATGAAAATAAATCATTCTACCAAAAGACACCTTGACTCATGTTTATCACAGCACTATTCACAATAGCAAAGATATGGAATCAACCCAGGTGCCCATCAGTGGTTGAATGGATAAAGAAAATGTGGTACATATACACCATGGAATACTATGCAGCCATAAACAATGAGACTACATCCTTTACACCAATATGGATGCAGTTGGAGGCCATTATCCAAAGTCAATTAACTCAGAAATAGAAAACCAAATACCAAACGTTCTCACTAATCAGTGGGAGCTAAACACTGGGTACACATGGACACAAACATGGGAACAATCAACCCTGGGGGCACAGGTGCGGTGGCTCATGTCTGTAATCCCAGCACTTTAGGAGACTGAGGCAGGTGGATCACTTGAGGTCAGGAGTTCGAGACCAGCCTGGCCAACATGGTGAAACCCTGTCTCTACTAAAAACGTCAAAATTAACCAGGTGTGGTGGCACATACCTATAATTCCATCCACTCAGGAGGCTGAGGCAGGAGAATTGCTTGAACCCAGAAGGTGGAAGTTGCAGTGAGCCAAGATTGTGCCACTGCACTCAGGCCTATTTTTGAGACTCCATCTCAAAAATAAATAAATAAACACCAGGGATTCCAAAAGTGGGGAGGTTTCCATCGGGGCAATGGTCAGAAAACAAACTATTGGGTATTATGTTCACTACTTGGGTGACGGGATCAGTGGAGGAGCAAACCTCAGCATCATGCAACACACACATATAACCTGCGCATATCCTCCCTGACTTCGGTATGTTTCCTCATGCGTAGGAGGAAACGTTTTAAAAATATGAATTTGAAAATATGAGTTTTGATAATATGAATTTGAAAGTATCAATGTTATAAAAACATCAGCAAGAATCTTAAAATACTAAAAGCTTCAGCATACACAGAGTCACCTGGAAGGCTAGCTAAATGACAGATGCCTGGGCATCACCCCAAAGTCTTCCATTCAGTAGGTCTTTGGTGCAGCTGAGAATTTTCATTTCTAGCAAGTTCCAGATAGTAC